CCATCCCTGGAGGTATTTAAAAGACGTGTAGATGTGGCGCTTAGGGACATGGTTTAGTGGTGGACTTGGCAGTGCTAGATTAACAGTTAGAAGTGATGATCTTAAGGGTCTTTTTCAACCTAAATGATTCTATGATTTTCTACACCCGCTGATGTATGTGCAGATACAATGCTCATATTACATGGTTCAGAAAATAAAAAAACTGAAAACTGAATGTGATCTGAGTTTTAGACTTTGTACAGAACCAAAAAAATTAAGCTAAACAGTGACTGAGTTTTGTGGAAAGGCTTTTATGGACACAAATGTTTGCAATTAAAAAATTCAAAGAAAACAGATTTTGTTTGGATGTAAACATTCCCCTGCTGCCCTGGAAATACTAACAGAGCAACACTGCACTAAGGCACTGGGAAGAAGAAAATGTTCTTTAAAGTAAAGAAAGAGCAACAACCACCAAAAAAGGTGAGAGTACTTCTTGAAATATTTCACTTTTACAAATATGTAAGATATTGTAAACATGTTCCTGCTTGTTAAATCTCGGCTCCCATTTAGCCGATTGCCCAGTAAACTGCCAAACTGCAAAGATGCCAACTGGTTTTGACAAGAATTCCCAGGGGAAAAAAAAAAACAAACATGCAAATAAAAAAAAAAAAAAAGAGTACTGGACCCAGAAGATTATATGGATAAAAATTTATGTGCTGTATTGGGCTAGACTAATGCACACTGAACTTCATGACAGGGTAACAGTCGAACCTGAGTGCCAAAACAAGAGGGGAGAAGTAAGATTTAGCTTTATAATTTCTCCAGCCAAGTTTTCAGGGACATAATCTCTTTGTAGAAAGAACTGCCAAAAGCACTCCCATAGACATTATCAATTGTTGCAGCCTCTGTTAAGCATATGACCTAAAACAAAGTTTGATAACTTCACTAGGCAACATTTCCACAAACATCTAGGCGGTCAGCACTGACTCACATCCCTCCCCTCAATGGTTACAACAGTCTCCAGGCTTTTGGTTTTGATTTTAGGACGGGAGTGGACAGAAAGACCTGTTGCCAATGCCACTGACTTCTCAAAAACACACGAGCCTTGCAGGCAGCTGGGGAGTCTCCCGCGGGCACTCCATCCAGCCACGCTTAGACACATACTAAATTTCTTCATGCTAGACCATACCAACTTGGCAGAACTACCTACACGGGGGTGAAAACCTCCATACATGCTCACAGTCCGGTCAGACACTGCCTGGTCCCATGGCTGGCCCTCAGGACACGCTTGCTGTGTTCACCAGATTTTATAAAGAAGAAAACAATAGTTAGTGAGATGATGGGAGAAAAGGGAACATGGGAAAGCAACGGTTTAAGCTTAAATTGGAAGTCACATTGAATAACTGACAGGATCTCATCAGAGCTCAGAAGTAATAACTTCGCTCAACTGCAGATGCGACAGGCTACCCCACATGCAAAATGGTCTGCTGTCATCTAACCTCTAAAGACACATCATTATACTAGTAAGGCCAGAAGAGTAGTAACACGTCTCATTTTTCATATGTTCCAGATATCTCAAACCTAACTGCTGCACACAGGTAGAAGCTGGAAATCCCATTTATTTGACTCTGCCTTTGCTGAAGGTCGACTCTAAACTCCCAAGCCGTGTCAGCTTGCTTAAAGACATATGTAATTTAGCTTTATCCCTTTCCAAGTTGCAACATGTTTTGTGCTGTTAAGAGTCACATTGCACTGGTTTTCATTTGCTCTGTGTAATAACAGTGCATATCAATCCAGCACATGAAAAAGCACATCTGTGAAAAAAAAGTCCTGTCTTGCTAGAAATCACTAACAATAAACTTGTCTGAAATTACCCCCCAAAAGTATGTGCTACGTAATTCTAGTCAACTGTCAGAAAACTATTTTTTCATAAGATGCCGGACCTCCCAAACAAATCAGTTCCCACACGTTTCCCAACTGGCAATTCATCAGTCTTGGTGAAAAGCTTTGCTGCAACTTTGTACAAATGCTCAAGATTTTTTGAGAGATGCGTAAGAAATTGCAGCAACACTAAAAAGAGGACATCCCCCCCATGCTAAGTAATAGGACTTACAGAAATAGTATAAAAAAAAATTCCTATGTATTACTGATTTCTGCTGCAGATCACAGTTACTGAACGAATAAGAGAGTCATGGAAATGGTTCATTTCCACGCTAAGCCTTTCACCAACCACGTGCTCTATCTTCATGCATCACTTAATTAACAGGTTATCCTCAATGTCTGCTTTCAGACAGCAGGCATCTTCAGCATCTCCATGCTGCCTGCCATACCATGTAAATGACAGCAAGTTTAGCTTGTAATCACCGAAAGAAATCTACTCGTAAGTCAGAGATGAACAGAGGATATGCAATTCTGCACCACCCTTTCAACACAGCCAGCACACTGACTCAAGGACAAGACAACATCAGGAGCTTTAAAGGTAAGATTCACCCGGTGTCAATGACATACGCAAACCCATGCAGTAACTAACTGTTGGAGTTTGAAGAAACCCACCGAAGTCCAACACTTTTAATGAGAAACTAATGGACAAGGAAATTCCATGCAGCAGCTTACAGCACAGCAACGAGGGGGAAAGCACACATGCAACAATACACCCCAAAGCAAGGGTGCACAAGTACCACAGTGAAATTACTGGGTGGCTCAAAGACAGTGATGAAGGCCAAGTTTATGAAGAACTGAGGGGAGGGAGTGGGGGGGAAAGGGTGGTGGCAGTAAGTCCCACATTTGTTAAAACACCACTGCTAATAATTTGAAAGGCAAGTTTCTTTATGAAAGCAGGCAGCAATTTTAAAGCAGCCACTCACACTGGAGAGCAAGGCAGAGCCCTGGCAATTGTCTACAGCAGACACAGAAGACAGGGTGGTCCAACCCAACACCAGTAGCAACCAGGAAACTGGGAGGTGACAGAGTGCCAGGAAGGGCACCAGACTGTATGAAGACTGGAGAGAGTAACAAACAAACCCAACAAATTCTTGGCAGAAGGACTCGGCGAAGAACATTAGGAAGTGTTTCAGACTCCAGCTGGGTATGCTGCTCCCAAAGAGGACAAGAAAAACAAAACTGTTGCTGCTTCGCTGCTCTGAGTCAGTAGGTTAAGACCCGCGCTTGTGCCATTCATCAGTGGGACTGAGGAGACGAACGTCTACACGTACTTCCTTGCTCCACATCCCCTCCTTCCCACACCTCCCCCCAAATCCTGCCACTGTTGCAGCACTTCCTCAGGAGGAGATGCCTGCAGTGGTTCATGTGTAGCAACGATGGTGAAGAGACACAGCAGGGACCAGCGAGTAACCGAGTTCTGATTACTTAAGAAAACAGGACAATGGAAAAATGGCACGAGTGATCTGATTACTGACCTTAAGCCCCTTCTCAAAAATGAAAAGTACTTTTGTAACTTTTAATTCCACCTGTAAAAGTGCTCTATATTCTTGCTGTGTCGAATGCAGGTATCTTAGCATTCACTGGATCAGAGTCCCAGTCTGGAGGCCATTAAAATACTGGTATTTCAGTACAGCGGCTACTTCATTTTCAGACAGATCAAGGCCCCATACATATCGTTGTCTCAACAACTGCCAAAGATGAATAAGCTACGACAACTACAGTTACAACATTATCAAGCCTTTATGCAAAATATTGAAAGCAAATTTCAAAGGCCCATTTGTTTTCTGTCGATAGTTAAGACTCAGTTGTGCTTTCATGACTGAAAAACAGAAATTTTATAAAAGGTCAGGTGATGGAAAAAAGTGATTACAAAAGGGAAAGTGGCAATCTAAGAACAAGGGAGGAAAAAAAAGACTAAGATTAAGAACAGGATTTATATATAAAAATTTATTTAGGTGAAGTCACAAACAGTTTAATATCAATTTACAAACACTTCATGTTATGCATATTATTGAAACTATCAAGAAAGGTAAAGGAGAGCAGAAAATGGCAGCTTTTTCCTGAAACAACTAAAGGCATACCCTTACCATCATGCGCGTTACTGGATCATAGTATTACCTTGATCATAGTCCCTAGTATGCAAGGGAAAAGGAAAAGAGAACAAAATACTGAGATGTAGAATGATTAAACCGTGAACCAGTGAATATGATTTTCATGAACACCAGACTACAAAGGTCTAGTCTGATGCTCAGGATCTTAAGTATTCTACGAGGATAAAACCAGAATAATCATTTAGGTCAATTATTATATTTGATCAAGAATTTTGTAATGCACAATTGGTCTGTAACTGATTTCTGGCAATGACAGCAATGGTTAATGAATTTTTCAGAGAAGAATGGAGAGGCGATATTGAGCCTCACAGAATAATTCTGTTGACAACCTGAGTTATTATACCAAGTGTATGATACTGTTTCAAGTCAAGTATACATTTATGTTGCAGATATTCTCAATGAAATGGTAAAAGTAACAGCTGTAACAAGACAAGTAATGATTTATTTTTTTTAAAACAAATATAGTACATAGGCTTTTGAAGTGTCCGGTTGTGATCTGCAAAGATCCAGGATTGCACACAAGTTTGCTCAAATGAGAAGGGTTAATCTGCGCATTAAATTGGCTTATACTTTCAAAGTAGTATTTTAGGGCAGGGTTCTCCTCCAGGAGACTGTTCCTGACCTCATTCAATCAATGTTCAATTTATTCACCTTCCTGAATCTTTGCCCTCTTTGGATAGTCTGTGACAAGTGCTGCGCTGCAGGAATTCCTGTTTTCCAGCAAACTGGCTTGCTCTGCAGGTTTGTAGTCCATTGTTACAATTGCTGATTGGGTAAAATGAATTTCCTACGTCTTCTCTAGCACAGCTTGCAACGCAACAGAAGCAGAGGTAAAAGAATGCACTAGAATACCAGAGCTCCACTTAAACACCAACGGAGTCAGGCTGTTGGCACCAATAAGAAATTCTGTATTTAACAAATCTGCAAATATTTAAAATCCAAAGTTAGTCAGTTTTATATATAAACTCACCCACTTAGTCTGACTGCCATCTCAACTGGCCTTCTGTTTTCACGGAGTCTGGAAAAAAAAATTGAGAATTGTCTGAAGTTAACGCAAACATAAATTTGCAGGACTCAATCTCAGCTATCCTACGTACGTGCCAATTATCACACTCAGACTAAAACTAGGGTTTCTCACTTTGTTCTTTCTGTGTAAAGCAAAGTTACAGCTCTTCATCGGTGCCTTAGAAAGGACAGCTAGCTTCAAACACGACACTTTGTTTTCCTTGACTTTGTTTTTACTGGTTAACCTTCTGTGGAACTGCAGAACCAGAGATAACAGGCACTGCATCAAGCTGAAATTTAAGAAGCCTTCGACTAAAAGAGGAAATGAAATCCGGTCAGGCTGCCTAATGCTATCCCTTGAAATTATGGAAACAAAATCAGTTCAAACAAACAATCTGGAAGAAAAGGTCTTTGTAAAACACCTCCTCTTCCTCTTGACAGCATGAATGTGGAAAAGCTTAGGTTCTGGCCAAAGCCGTAAGCCCATGAAAGGCTATTCTCTCCCATTTTAATTCTCTGATTCTTTTGCCCAAATGTGAAGTCACATCTTATTTCTCTGAAGCAGTTTTACACAACATAATTAGAGCTTGCAAGGAGCTGGGGAGGTGCGGGGGAAACCCACAGGTCACCTCCAAGAGCGCAACATTTCCTTGCTGCTGCCTTGCCAATGATAAACTCATGCTTTATCCTAGGCCTCATCTACACTTAACAGCTGCTCAAACCATTATAAGAGGACTTTTGTCCTCTTTTAAACAGTTACAAGAGACTATGTGCTACCAATTAAAAACTGCTCTAATAATAGAAAGGCGGTTGAACCCACACTGAACAATTGCACAACTTTTACTTTTGCTTTTCATTGTGCTGCTAAAGCACTACTGTTTTTACAAACATTAAACTTTTGGTATTTCGTGAACTATTTAGTTAAAATAAACACGTTTAATTTTTCTTCACACAATTTCTAGTTGCTTCTTCCATATGTAAGAGGGGAAAAAATAAAAAAAAATCAATGCCACTGCTAAAATTAACTGGAAAATTTCCACGAAATCAAAGGGGATCGAGACCTCTGGTGCCTCAGCAGACAACAGTGCAAAGGTTTGCACTGACAGGCCGGCTACTGTGGAAGAAGTTACAAGCCTGGTTAACACAACAAGCTGAAGATCCAGTCTCGGATGAGATGAAAGCTATGAGCTACTGCCTGTCTGGTGCTCACATAAGATCCACAGCAAAACAAGAATTGAGCTGTTGTTCTTGAGAATGGAGAAATCTAAACAGAGGTATCAGAACAAGCTGCATAAATCTAGAGCATCAACCACAGAAGGCGCCAAGGCCACAAAGCCTGCACTGGGACCTGTTACGCTATCCGCTGCGTGGTGTTTGCGCCCTTTCTTTATTGCACGTCAGCCCAAAGAAGTCACTTTCGACAGGTACCCAAGTCAGGTCTTGGTGTGACACACCAACCACTTGCAGATGCCCTGAAAAAGGGCCCTCCCTTTCCAGATCAGGCTAACAGAGTCCAACAACATAGCCACTCCTCTGCGCTGACAATCCCGGGGCAGCAGAGCATCTGATGAGCTAGCAAAAACCCTTCAGGAACGCAAAGGTTCTTCCTACGGTCCTAAAAAAATTGCTTAGAAATAAATACAGCCAACATAAGAGAAGCTCCCTACCATCATTCAGCTGGCATGAAAATCAGCGTTTAGCAGTCAGCATTTTCTGTGCTGGGGATTTGAGAGACTACAGCCACCAGTATAAGAGAAGCAGCACAACCCCTGATACAGGCAGGCAGCCCTTTGTACCAGCGGAGCTCGCTGTCACGGCTCAGGCAGCCGAGAGGGTAGATCTGCCCGCGTACATCAGGGGTTACACCAATTCAGTGACACTCAATGCCTATACTGAAAGCAAAACCTTAAGGTACGCAAAATCTTCCCTACTTCCCCTAATCACACCCACCATCTTTTCCCACAAAACAGGCCAGAACTTGTGGATTAAAGCTACTGAGTCCCAAACCAGGTTAGATCTCCAAATCACAGTGAATTTGCAAGCTGTGGCCATTCACACTGAAGTTTATCTTTATTCACATAATTTTTCTGGCCTCCCACACAGCCTGCAACTACCACATGCTCCCATAGTAACTGTAGAGTCTGTACTCTTTGTCTGTACATATGGGCATCTGTATGGCTGAGAAAGTTAATTCTTTAAAGACAACTCAGGAAAAAAACCACACCGTCCTGAAGTCTTAAGGAAAATGCAATTATATACCAGGGGAGAGAATTACTGGGGTTCCTAACTACTGGTGGCCAGCGCAATAAACGCTACAAACAATTATTTGCTGAGAGCGTGCTTTTTTTCTCTAGCAATGCCCACCCCTCCCACGGTGGCCAGCCAGCCAGCCCAGCCAGCCAGCCGTGTGGCCCCGGCAGGTACGGCGCCGTGCCTCGCCAACTGATGCCGTGGCCCTACAGTTAGCACGAGTGAAGGGTCAGCGCCGTGACACGGGAGCTGCTGACCGATTCGAGGGCACCCCAACCGCCCCCTTCTCCTCTTCCCCTCCGAGGGGGCACCGTGCCCAGCCAGGGGAGCGGG